TGGAATTAAACATCAGCATATTTCAGTAAAATAACTTCTTGCTGTTACAATCATCACCTTTGTTGTTTAAAAAGCTCTTTCTAGAAGTTGTTTTGTAAACAGCCTGTTATGCAGGAGGTGCAATCCTGTCCCTGTTACTGTTGGAGGATGGGACAGATGCTGGTTAATCCATCTTGATGTCTGTCAGCTGCTGAGAAGTATCCTCCCACCCCCTGGAACGTGGGTGGACCCCTCATAGCAGTGACACTGGGCAGCAGAGTTGGGAGTATTCAAGCTGGGGTCTTGTTTCCAGTGCCTCCACAAAGGGTGTAGTTGTTTAAAGCCATACAAGCATGGCTGGCCAGTTGAGAGAGGTGGTTCCAACCCTCTGCTCTGGCGAGACCCCTCCTGGAGTGCTGTGTCCAGTTCTGGAGTCCCCTGCATAATGACATGGAGCTCCTGGAGACAGTCCAGAGGAGGCCATGGAGATGCTCAGAGGGCTGGAGCAGCTCCCCTATGAAGACAGGCTGAGGAAGTTGGGGTTGTTCAGCCTAGAGATGAGGAGGCTTCATGGTGACCTTACAGCAACCTTCCAGTATCTGAAGGGGACAGTATCTGAAGGCTACAAGAAAGCTGGGATAGGGCTTTTGACACGGGTGTGTAGTGAGAGGGGAGATTCAGGTCAGACATCAGGAAGAAATTCTTCACTATGAGGGCGGTGAGAGCCTGGCCCAGGTTGCCCAGGGAAGCTGTGGCTGCCCCATCCCTGGAAGTGTTGAAGGGCAGGTTGGATGGGGCTTGAAGCAGCCTGGGCTGGTGGGAGGTGTCCCTGCCCATGGCAGTGGGGCTGGATCTAGATGATCTTTAAGGTCCCTTCCAACCCAAACCATTCCATGATTCTGTGGTAACAGGTGAAGGTCTAAGCCTTGACTGGAAAGAGCTGCTTGTCCAGCACCTTCATTCCCTCTCTGTCCCCTCAGATCCTGTCGTCCATTGAGTTGCTGCAACATTCTTTACCCAAGATCAACCGAAGCGCTTCTGAACCGTCCCTGCACCGTGCCGCCCACACAGAGGACATCAACTCCTGCACCTTAACATCCACGAGACTGCCCATCTTCTAGGGTCCTGCTCCCCTGCCCTTCTTCTCTCCAGGGATGGGACAGGAACAGAAGTAACAGCAGTTGTGCTTTTAATGCCTCAGTGTCCAGGATCAGTGCCAGCAGGATTCCCTGCGCCCCAGTTTGAAGAACAAGCTGCTAAGGACTCCTGCAGTTCTCCCCCTGCAGGGACACAGCTCCACAAGGCCTTTTTGTACAGTTTCTTTTACTGGGATAGTTAACAGACTGTACAGATCAAGAGATCTATTACTATTTTTTTAATAGATGCACTTGAGCCTTACTTTGCCCATCCACAGAAGCGATGGATGTTTCTTTGGCAGTGTTTCTGGATTGATGGGAATCTGTTGATGAATTGGGTATTTTTTACAGCCAGGATGGCTTCTTGAGGGAAGAAGATGATGCATTTATGGTGCTCCTTGATTGCCCCCTGCCATCTGCCACTTCCAGGTGGGGAGCTGTGCCTGCAATGGCTTTTCTGCAAACAAGACTGAGGGAAGAGGAAAAAACCAAAACCCAACAACTTCCTGGAAATCAGCTCCTGCCAAGAGCTTTCATCAAGCCAATGAAATAAGTTAAAATGCTAATTCAACACGAAATAGTTTTTGCAATAGTTTTGCACATAGAAGAAAAACTCTTGCAAAAGAATGGAATCTGTTCTGAACTGTACTGCTCAGAGAAGGAAGCCAGCCAGTCTTGCTCCAGTCCTCCTTAGTAACTTCAGCAGCTCACTTTGGTACTAGTGACTTGTTTCTTGCAGCCTGAGGAGGTGGGAAGGGTGGGAAGATGGGCTTTTGTGGGTGAGAAAAGGCTGATTAACATGATCCCTATTCTTCTGCAAAATGAGCAGAGTCTTCCTGTCCCATCTGAAGCTGTTCAAGAGATGCACTATCAAGAGGAAACTGAGCATATACAGTTTTTCTTGCTGATTTGGGTTTTAATTTTGTTTTTATTGCTCCTGAGAAAATGCATTTATTGTAAGCCAAGGTTCCTCTGATTATCTTATTTTAATAAAATAAATTAAATTTTAGGTTTAAGATTCAATGTCATCATTTAATGTAGTCATAAGTAGTTCTGACATGTACATCTAGATTTTAAAAATGCAGAAAATTACATTCTGGATGTTGTTTTTTTTATAAAGTTACTAGGATAAGGTAATAGCAGTTCAAGTAAAAACACACTTGATATGACAAAGTACAGGTTTCCAATCACTTCCATTATGAGATGGTTTTTATTCTACTGTAATAATTCAGCAGCATCTACTTAAGGTCCCTACACTGAGGTATTAATCCTTAGGTGATAACTGAGCATGACCCATAACATTTGCTTGTTAAAAACTGAGGGTTGAAGGAAACTGTTCCATATAGTGAACATGATTTTAAACAACATGATTGGTATTTTAACTGCAGCCCTCTTAAATCATCATTTATCTCTTATTTCACCTTCATTATCATAAGAAAAAAAAAAAGCTGCTTTTACTTTAGCTCTAATTTTCAAAAAGAAACCATTCATGTCTAATTTTTAAAACAGATTATGCCTCTCTTGAAAAATTAAAATATTTTCTAGTAAATAGGCTGGTTTTGACCAGCACTTCATGTCAAATTAGATGAAAGGTGCTAAGTGAAGACTTTAAAAGATCTGAGTTTCTAAGTCTTTCTGCTGTTAAATGAAAACGTCTCTCTAGGTAGCTTTGAAAAACAAGTTATCTTTTTAATTTCAGCTACTGTTACCTGGTTTCTGTCTTCCTGGGGGAAGTAAATCAGGAATGTCTCATTTCAGGTAAAGAACATCCTCTCCATAGACTTTTTTGGTATATTTTTATTACTGAAAATATTTCTCTCTAGAAAAAAAGAAAATATGCAAGATGAGCTTGAAACAGGCTGAGTGGGGAGGGGAAGGGCTGTGGGAGTGGTTTGTGGTAGAAAGGACGTCTGGGCTAGTGCTCTTCAATATTCATCTCTGAGTTCTTACATCTGTTAGTGATTATTTCACCTTGGTAATTAGTGCTGAGGAATTGCACTGGTGAGACACCAGAGCTGGGGCTCCTGTGGTGTGGTCATAGAGCAGCTGACAAGTCAGTGGTTACAGACACCGACATAGCAGGAAACCTTGTTAAAATTATCTTTAGGGAGGAAATAATTGTAGAGCAGGGACACTTCCTAGGTCAGAGCAGGAGGTGCCTGCTCAGGGTGAGGGAGCTGCTGGGCAGGGGAGGGGGGCAGGTCTCCCTCTTCTGCTGGAACCTTGGGAGAAATGCAGGATTTCCAGCCAGAATGTTTCTCAGCCTCAGTTTTAACCCAGAAATGCCAACCAAGGGATGAAGTGGATAATCCTGGAGTCACTAATTTCGTTCCATTTATAAATGTTTAAAGCCCAGATTAAGGTTCCTTTCTGACAGTGCCCCAGATCTGAGTTTTTAGCCATGGCAGCATGTCCTGTTTACTGATGGGTTTGCTTAAGTGTCTCTAAACATACTTTGCTTCACAATATAAGCAAGTTCAGTTGTCTCAACTGTCAAGCTTTCTGAAATGCTTGACTCCAGTCTTTAAGCAGATGAGGGACCTTTAATGGGTATTCAGTCTTCTCCTCAAGCCATCAGGTAAACTGTCCCTCTTAGTTGAAGGCTGTAGAGAGAATGTGCTTGAGGAAACTCCTTGTACCCCAAAATCCTAACACTCAGCAGCCAGGTCAGTTGTGTCCAGACTGAATTTTTGGCTTAATTGCAAAGTTAATCCAAAGCATTTAACAGAATTAATTTCTTTTATCAAATAGCAAATTTCTTTTGCTCAAGCCTTTTGCAACACAAATGTAATTCAAGTTTTAACAAAAGTAAAATTAATTCACAATTTTATGATTGGTACAATGATCTTAAAGGTCTTCTTCAATCTCAGTGAGTCTAATTCCATGAATGCAGATGTGCCTCAATACCTCACCCCTCCTGGACCTTGACCATTGGTGTCCATCTGAAACATGGGCAGCTGGAGCCAGAGACCTCCTGAAGAGCTGGAGGTGCAGGAGCTGCTGTCAGGGCTGTGGGGAGGGAGCTGGAGGCACCTGCTGCAGAGCAGCCCCTTCAGTGTCACTTACAAGAGCAACAATTCACCTTCTGCCCGTTTGGGGCTGGTCTGAGCCTGGGTCAGAGCTACAGGGATGTGGGAGAGGCCAGTACCACACAGGTAAGAAAAGCAGCAGTTAAACCAAATGGGTTCTTTTGTAACCGACATGATTTATGTTGAGAGTTGCAAACTAAGATCACTGAGCTAAGATCAGAAAACTATTTAGTTACTTCATTTTGGTTGCTTCATTTAACCTGAGTCAAGGTTTCCCTTCCAGTTAAGCACATTTCAACTAGTTACATTTTGTTGCAGTTTCACTGTTGCTGTTGCAATGACTCCTTAAAGTAACTCCATATAATCCAAAATCCAGTTGGTGGTCTAAGTTTGATTGTGACTTCAGTCTTGCTCTGCCTGAATATGTATTGGTGCAGGTGTATCTGCTCTCCAAGGGACACCTCCTGCCACTGGTGGCTTCAATCCTTTTAAAACCAGGGTAGGAACCTGCACAGCCTGTGAGAGCCAGGAAAGGTCCAGGCCCCACTGCTGAAACACTGTGAGAACACAGTGAACTTGGCTCTGGACTCTGGGTACTACTTTGAGGTACAATGCATTAGTTCTTAAATCTTTTTTTAAGGGGGGAAAAAAGCTACACTGACCATTATTCCCAGTAGATATACATTTAGTGGATTTGATGGGGAAAAAAACCCCACCAAAATAGATTTAGCAACAGTTTTTAGCAGCTGAAGCTTTAAAATGGTAAGAGAGGAGCTGTTTTTACACTGCCACTCCACTCACACAACAGTGTATCTTGGGCCTAAGAAGGAGAAAACCCTCTTAGAATGATGGGATTTTTTTCTCCATGCAATCAATTTCACTTTTAAAATATATTTTAGTATTTTTGTTGCCATACAAAAACTACCTGAAGACTTTACCAGGACTGCACAAGGAAACCACAGGGTACATTCATCCTAACTGTGCCATAGAAAGAAGCGTGACTAAATAAATAGCTGGATTGCTATGCAGGGACAGGACCTTCCTTCTCTTTATTGAGAAGTAGCAGAATCCTCATCAGCCCCAGAAAGGTGCATGAAAAGTTCTCCAAGTTCTGTTACTTGGTCATCTGTGCTGGTCACAGTCCTGCTTTCTCTGTCTTCAATGAAGTCCCACAGACGAACAGAATTGAAGAACTGCAAGAGAAGAAATTTGACTGATCACCAACCAGTCACAGATCCTCAAAGTATCTTCCCTGGCCAGACTTACTTCTTCATTAAAAAAAAACAAGTGTGAAGTTGAGACTCCAAAGCTGGGTTGGTTCTATATTTAGTAACACTCACAGCAACATTGGCTGTTAAATTTACGGTGACCACTGCTCTGTGGTATGAGCTCTGCGAGGTGAAACCAGCCCTGGGAAGGGGCTGTTCCTCAAGTGACCCCACCAGCCTGACTGCCCAGCCCCAGCTCATGGGACCATTTCAGCTGGTGTTACTGCCAGCTCTATGAGGCAAGTGAGGTGAGTTTTTAACACTGCAGGTGAAAGCCTGAGTGGCAAAACTCCTGAAGAAAGGTTTGCTGGGAGAAGGATCGGTTGAAAAAACTAAACAATAATAGATTTTTTGCTCTTAAATAAGAGGTGCCTTCTACTTTAACAACAAACCTGTGCCCCAAGGGAAGGTGAGGGATGCTTCCTTCACTTCTCCAAGGCTGTGCTTGGTATGGAACATATTTATGTAGTGCACTTCACATGCATAATGTGGCTTTAATCACCCCCTTACCCGCACAGTCCCCTCAGAACTGAGCTGCTTCCGGGGCTTCTCAGGTTCAGCCCGTGTTCCATCTGGGTAAGCATGAAGGTAAAGACACTTCCCTCCAAAGGGGCAGGTTCCTTTCCCTTGTTCAAAGTACTTGCAGGGTTTCTTCCTGATTTAATAAAAGAGAGAGTTACTGCCTTCAGCTAGCAGGAAACAGACAGTTCAGTCTCCACAGCTGCTTATCTCATCCTGGGTCAGGGGTGCAGGGCACTGCTCCTGGTCTCCACTCCCTAACTGACAGCAGTCAAAATAGACAGGAAGGATTATTAAAAGTGAAAAAAAAATGCAAAATGAGCAGCATCATAAGTAAAAAAAAACCCCACTATCCTAAGCCATGAAGAGTGAAGGATGTTCAGAGAATACCATCAATCCTACATGATGCATTTTTACCCTGCTCACAGCAGGCAGGCTG